CTCATCTTCTGGCTTAGATTTCAGGTCTCTCTGATTTCCTGAGTCTTTTACCATGCTTTCCATCTTTTCCTACTTTGTACTTCCACAATTTTTTTTTTTTTTTTTGCCTCCTATTCTCTTTTTTCTTTGTGAGTTTATGTCCCTCCTTTTTTAAAATCTGTTTACTGTCATTTTAGTAGATTACAGGAGAAAGTGGTGGTAAACCCTATGCAGTGAAACCTGTGAGTGCTGGAACTTGATGGGACTGCTTTGTTTTTCCAGGTCTCACAAGTTTTCTGTCTTTGACAGGGTGCAGTTCTTAACCACTTTTCTATCTCTTTTTAATAGAAAATGTTTGAGCTTTTGTTCTCTGATAGATTTCTGCCTTACACAGGTTCTGGCTTTTGCAAGTTTTACTGTATTAAGTTTGCCATATTATAATCAAAAGTGACATTTTCTACCTTGAAAAAACTTTTGCCTAGATCCTCTTACCCTTTGTAGCTGCTTTCATAGAACTTGTTTTTAGTCATCAGTTTCTTGAGACAAACTATTCTGTATTTACTGATTCCGTGTTCTAGTACACTCTTTCCCTAACCTTTAAGACTACCTGCTGTGTAGGCAATCTGTTTAATAGATCACCAGAGACCTAATCACCACATCCAGTTGTTTTTTTCAATCCTCATTTGTTTCTAACCTGTCAGTGTCATCTGATTCTCTTGTACATACATAGAAGAGAATTCATGTTCTTTGTTGTAGAAAGTATGCTAATGAAGCCTTAGTTTTGTCAAGAAATTGAATAATTACTGTTTGATAGAAAAGAGTTTAAATACTTTTTTAAAGATACGTGCTTATGAAGGTGGTATTCCAGGTGTTTTAAAGTTTCTTCTTTTTGTTTGTCTGATTGTGTGCTCTGCCCTTATAGGGTCATTCTGCGTTGGAATTGACTCAACGGCAGTGAGTTTGGTTTGGTTTTTGGTTCCAGAGTAAGACAGACTAGGAAGAAAGGCCTGGCAATCTACTTCCAAAAATCAGCCAATAAAAACCTTAGGAATCACGACAATCCAATCCAGTCCACA